CCGTCTATCCGAAGATCAGTATGATTGAAATTTCCTTCGAAGCAATGGTGACCTGAAATATTTACATTCTAACTATTGGACTTTCAAGTGGTTAAGAAAGTTGAACAGAAGAAAAGAAACATTCCACTCCAAATGGACCTCTTTATAAATCACAAACATTATATCATATCATTTACAACTGGCATATAGAATATAAGAACCTAGGGTGTTATTTCAGATATTTGCAAGTTGAATAGGAATATAAATGTCAATAGACTTACATAAAGTTGATAAACAAATTCGTACATACCTGAAAATAAAAAAAAAACAAACAAATATGTTAAATAATTACTTTATAGGTATTAGGTTAAGATATATAATATATTTTTGGTAGCAAAACATCAATCCAGCGCGCTTAGTATACATATTATATAAAAATAAAACATTTTTTCATTTAAAATCGATAATTCAACTAAGGCAATTTCAGGCCTATGAATTTATTATATCCTCTGCCACCTTTATAAGGAGCTCTCGGCATGTTTTAAAGTTCTTTGCGTACGGTCCTATATATTCTCTGAAATTTTGGATATGCTCTTGTTAATTGTATATGAAAACAAATTACAGAAAAACTCACTTTTCAGACTTAGCATACTATTTTTCGGAGGCGGCGATATATGTGGGATATGATCTTGTTAATAGCTTGAAAACAAATTCGGAAAATTCGGTTCTATGTCAGACATTATATATGCACTTAAGGCCATTAAAATAACTAAAATGTGGTGTGGCGATACTATGAGATATAAATGAAAATCCAATATTGAATATTTTCTGCAAAGACATTTTTCAGCCACCAAAAATATAAAATTGCTTAGAAAATTCGGCTAGAACCTCTAAAAACCTAACAGTATCTCGTTCCTAGTTAAAAAAATATACTTTTTACAATTCAGTTCAGTGAATGGACACCTGTCCTTTCATCCTTTCTGACAATAATCATACTAATTTTACAATTAAATTTTTAATGTATTTTTAAATTTATTTTTAATAATGCAAAGCAAAAAACTCCTCATCTTACACACATCACGTACATCTACAACTATTTACTATCATTATAACAAGCACTATCTTCTTTTTTATATAGAACATCACACACTTCTAAATAGCTCACACACGTACGCACTCTCATTTTATATAAATCAACGTGACTTATAATGAAAATTAATTAAATTCATTAAAGTTCGATTCACATAAATATTCGTGCCACACTTAACCTGTAATTTTCTTTTCAACTATAACGCGAACATGCCATACATACACATATATGTGTATGTATAATAAGTACCTTAGGGACCTTGTTGAAGATGCACCTCTTTCTCAGTGGCTTATTTTTGTTCATTTATTTATTAAATAAATCATTTCAACACCAGATGCTTGTTTTTCGCAACTAAGTGAAGAAACAGTTGCAGAACTTAATGGTGGTGGTGACTGTGATGTTGGCGGCATCGTCAGCATTTTTTTGAATTGATTCATTTGAAGTTGCTGGTGCTGCTGCTACTACTTTGCAATTGGCTAATTTAAAAAAAATATTCCAAAGGGATGAATGAATGTTTGTGTTCTTCGAGTACGTAAAGAATGCAGCACAGTGGGTTCTTGGGTATTAAATTCTGGTGACATTGCAGGTGGTGGATGGGGTGAACATTTAGAAAATACATTTAAGAAAAACGTGAAATGTTTGGGTCCTAGGATGGGATGTGTGGTATTGTATAAATATTTCTGAAAAATGTCACATTTATTGCTATGGATATTTCGTATTGAAAATACCGTCCACAGTTTAGTTTAGCACACATTTTCGAATTTTCGTTTTTAACCGAATTTTCTATAGGACTGTAATTTGGATTTCCTGAAGGATGAACATATGTTTACAGAAAATATTCGATATAGATCTATATTTTAAAATAGCCTTTTTTGGTCATTTTAAAGAAATTTTCAACCGCCTTTGCCTTTTTAATATAGATCTATATTTCGGTATGACGAACATGTCAATGTCCAGTATCCTAGGGTAATCATACGATATTTCGTATTGAAAATACCGTCCACAGTTTAGTTTAGCACACGTTCGCTTAAAAATGTCACCCAATTTTCGGCATTTTTTACCGATTTTTCTAAAAAAAACAGGACTTTAATTTGGATTTCCTGGAGGATGAAAATATATGTACAGAAAATGTTCGATATCGATGTAAATCTTAAAATAGTCTGCCAGTAAAGGTACCGCCCATTTTTGGTCATTTGTAATCCTAGGCCAACATTTTTTGCAAATTATTTTTAATATAGATCTATATTTTGGTATGACGAACATGTTAATGTCCCGTATGCCTCAGTTTAAGTAGGAGCATTTTCCAACTAAGTAGGAGCATTTTCCAACTGAAGTAGATTTAATTTGGCATTTCAGAAAATTGTCGATTTAGGTCCATTTTAAGGACCATCCCCATTTTCAGTATTTTAATTGTATTTGACTCATTTTATGTACATTTAGGAATTTTCAATGTCCTAGCCGCATTTTCCCACAAAGTTGGCATAATAGGTTCTTGGTCGGTAAACAATAAATTGTCACTATATTAAGGTCCAGACCTGTTTTTATAGACCTTGGCTTACATTCCGAGTTCTAGATGGGTAAACACAGTTTTGCAAAAAATATTGGCTTATTTTTTTGAAAATGAAAATGGTCTTATATAATGATCCCGCAGTGTTAGATAGACATTTTTATGTTCCTAGGCTTATTTTCGAAATGACTCTAATAGGGCATCTTCATAAACAAAAATCCAATAAACCTCATTGTTTGTTCATTAACCGTCCCGCTCATTTTCGGTAATTTGTTTCCAGGAAATTGCCAGTGTTTCGGCATAGTCCTCATTTAAGGTCCCTTTAGGTCCACTTTAGGTATTTTGTGGTCCTAGGCTAATTTTCAATATATCTGCCTTCATTGCAAGATCCCGCTCCATTTTTGTATGTTAAAGGTTTTAACCGAATTTTCCAACCTGATTATCTGAATATCGCTTTTACACAGGATAAAAATCCATCCTGAAATACAATTTACGATGGATGGTATATCCCCATATAAATGCCCCTATCGATGTTTGTATGTCATCGATTTTTTAGCCGTTTTTTTATTTTTTTTTATTTTTCTCATTTTTGAAAGGTTATTTAATTTTCTTCCCCGTAATATAATAAAACTTAAAATATCATTTTTAATATTATTTTATTATTATTGATGTATATGCTTCCGAACACGTCTACCCCACTGTTCTGCAACATGCGTTTGTGTTATCACAGCTGTAATGTACATATGTTTATATGTGTGTGTGTGCTTTGAGACTTCTTTTAAATAAATATAAATTACCCTAGTTGAAAACGTGTCGGCGCACAGTTTCAGAAAAAAATGTGTTGAGACCTGTGCGATTCGCATCTCTCCCCACTTCCCTTGGGTGCATCATTATCTGTCTATAGATTTCCACATGCCATGTGCAACAACTGGCAAATATCTATTTGGTTGTGTTATTTATGCTGTTCAGTTCATCGTTTCAATGGGAACTGGAGCTTACACATTTGGTAATAAGCAGTTTTGTGTGTTATGTTATCAAATAAAAATTATTTTATTTCCTAGCTTTCGGGCATGATTTTATTGACCACCACAGCCGATATGAATGCGCCCATTGGCAATGAATTTGTGCATCATTGGGTCTGGGTTAAATGGGTGTGCTTTAAATTCATTCAGAAATGCTTTATTATATTCTTGCAACAATGTTGCACAATTGCCTAGCATTATTGTGTGAGATGTGTTATTGCCACATATATTTTGACTTGTGCCTTTTTGTAAGGTGTGTCATAAGTCAAACTGTGCTCAATGAGATATACATAATTTATTAAGTTTAAGATTAATGGTTTATTTAAAAGAGGGTAACATAATATATTCAGTACATGATAACAATATTTTGTGATAAAATATAAAATTAGCTAAAGTTAAATAATTTTTTAATACTTTAAATATATTTTAATTATGCTGAATTAAATTTTCGCCATTTTTTTAATTCAATTCAGCTTAGTAGAATAAAATGTTCCTCTGAAAAATGTGAATTCAGCAATGTAAATGTATTGACAAATTCAGTCAAGCTGAATTAATTTGTTCATTATGAAATACAAATTCAGCCAAGCTGAATTTCTTTTTTTTTCTTTATGAAATACAAATTCAGCCAAGCTGAATTAATTTTTTCTTCATGAAATACAAATTTAGCCAAGCTGAATTAATTTTTTCTTTATGAAATACAAATTCAGCCCAGCTGAATTAATTTTTTCTTTATGGATTACAAATTCAGCCCAGCTGAATTATTTTTTTCTTTATGGAATGAATTTGAATTATAAAGAAAAAGCTGAATTATTTTTTTCTTTATGAAATACAAATTCAGCAAAGCTGAATTAATTTGTTCATTATGAAATACAAATTCAGTCAAGCTGAATTAATGTTTTCCTTATGTGAATACAAATTCAGCCAAGCTGAATTAATTTTTTCTTTATGAAATAAAAATTAAGCCAAGCTAAATGCATTTTTCCTTTCTGAAATACAAATTCAGCCCAGCTGAATTAAGTTTTTCGTTATGAAATACAACTCCTTTATGAAATACAAATTCAGCCAAGCTGAATCAATTTTTTGTTTATGAAATACAATATATAATAATAATATTTTCTTTATAAAATACAAATTTAGCAACATTAAACCTGTGTTTGCCTATCAAGGACACAAGTCAACTATAAGGAATTCATTTTTATTTAATTAAAAATTAATTCAGCTAAGATAAAATATTCTTTTTTTTTTTCAATCTTTCAACTCATTAGAATTATTTATAGCGATTTCCTTATAACCGTTTATTTGTAATTATCTCTTTTTTGCTAATCATTACAACAAATATTCTCTAACACCAATTGAATGTTTTATTTATTTTCTTCTCTTCTTCTTTATCGTGTCTTTACAGATCGGCCAATTATTATCGTGCCACAAATATTTGCGAATTATCGGAAATGGATCGTATTACGCTGGCTGGTACAAGTGCATTCCAAAGTCAAGATGGCATCGATTATCTGGAGAACAATTGCGCCGAAGAACCAAATAAATTATGCGAATTCAAACGTTTATCGGGCAGAATATTGAAAACTGTCGATTCGGTATATCAGGATGTTGGCAGCATTGATGAGTGCCGTGATTTGTGTATAAATTCACCATACAGGTAAGTGGAATAAAACAAAAACAAAACGCCAACACAAAGTTGACCAATGGACAGAGAGGACGGACCTTAAACGGCAAAGATAATGATGAGGCTGAATGACGGACTAGATGGCTGGCCGATCATGGTCAAAGTATTTTCATGACATTGACTTGATGATCATCCATATGATGACGACAAGAATAATGTGGTGGTTTGTTGTAACCAAAGAACGCATTTTATACGATTAGAAATAATATAAGGCGATATCGAGAAGTAGATGAAAACGAGCTAAGTAGCAGTAAAATAACGCAGCTCACATAACAAGTGTCTGGTCACTTTGGAAACGTTTACAACAACAGGTTGTCTAACTGAGCTAAGCGTAGTTATGGCCCAGCTATTAGCCGTTTTAAGCCACAAATATATTATGATCAAATTGTTGTTGTTTCGAGCTTATTTATGATCATCATCTTTTCGAAATAGACGCCGATACACACACAGAGAACGAACATCATAACTCTTCACAACAAAATGTTTCTGAGGAGAGGGTTACTCGTGATACTCATAAAATTTATTATGCTCTAAGGTGTTCTCATTTTTTATGAGCCAAAAAACAAAAACAACAACATCGATGATTTTCGGAACATCAGAATTTATGACACCAAAAGAGTGGTAAAGCGTTCGATCGGTTCAGGAAGATCAATGGGAACTTGTTTTATGACTGTTAACGGAAAAGTGGCTATCATTTGTAGTTATAAAGGAAGCAAAAGGAGTAAGAGACTAGGTTCGGATGTTATGTGAGCTTATTTTATGGTTTTGACAACAACAATGTTCATGAGCTTTGAATGATTTGAAAATTCCGATATTAGAGGTTTTCACATTAAGCTAGAAGGGAGGAAATGTACGCCTGAAACTCAGGAAGTATATACGTACTAAATAAAGGACAGCGAGTCTTTAGAGACTGTCTGAATGTCATATGTAAGATCAGGTCAGGTATGGGGCCATCTGAAAGCAAGGACATTTTTATAGACCAAGCAAGGTCATCAAGCCTTTATAAACGAGCTGAAGCTTCGGGTGTCTTTACTGGACAAGGAGAAGTTTATGAAGTGTCAACACACAATATGAAGGTCAAGGGGCCAGAGCTAAACATCTGATTGTCATTGCAGAACTGAAAATCTACTAGTCCCTTCTGATGACGAATGTTTATAGGCAGGGAATGTTTAGATATTGCTTGGAAGCCGAACGGAATATCAAGAAGTCCCTATAAGAGAGCTTCAGGAAAGCGAGTTTAATTTCTGGATGTCCCTTTTCGACTGGATGAAGGTCAGAGTTGTCATACACAATTTTAAGGTTAGGACGTATAGACGGACTGAAAGTTCGGAAGTCGTTATAAAATATGTAAATCCAAGAAGTTCTCATAGTCGAGCTGAAGTTCAAAGAATCTGTATCGACGAACAGAATGTCAGGTTGGCTATATAGACCAGCTGGATGTCTGTATAGACGAAAAAATTTCAGGATGTCTCCATAGACAAATTGGAGGTCAGGGAGTCTGTATAGACGTGCCGTAGGTTAGGGAGTCTGTATAGAGGAGCAGAATGTCAGGGAGCCTGTATAGACCAGATGAAGGTCAGGTAGTCTGTATATACGAGCTGAACATTGCGGAAGATCTGAAGGTTAGAAGATATAAAGTCCAAGGAATCATTATTTATGAGCTGAAGATCAGGGAGTCTATTATAGTACAGCCAGAGTTTATGGAGTCTATAAACACAGACTGAAGATTAGAATATCTTCATAGACGAACTCAAGATCAGAATGTCTTCAGTGATGATCTGAAGCATAAGGAGTCTCTATACTGAAGGACAGAGACCCTCTATAAACGAGCTAAAGGTCAGGGAGTGTCTATTAAAGATCTGAAGCTCGGGGAGTCTCTATTGACGAACTAAAGCTCAGGGAGTATTTCTCTATAGGCAGGGAACCCTACAAACGAACTGACGATTAAGGAATCTCTATAGACGAGCAGAAGGTCAGGGTGACTCTATATACTAGCAGAAGGTCAGGGTGATCTCATTCAGAAACTGAAGGGCAGGGAGCCTCTATATAGGTTATGAAGACTCTATAGACCAGCTGAAGGGAGTCTCTAAAGACGAACTGAAGGGTGTCTCTAAAGATGAACTGATGGGAGTCTCTAAAGACGAGCTGAAAGGTGTCCCTATAGACGAACTGAAAGGTCTCTATAGACGAGCTGAAGATCTAAAGAGAGTCTCTAAATGATCTAAAGAGAGGCCCTAAAGACTCTGATGGGAGTCTCAATAGATCAGCTGAAGGGTGAGGTGACTCTATAGCCCAGCTGAAGTGAGTCTCTAAAGACAAACTGAATGGTGTCTTTATGGACGAACTGAAGAGAGTCTCTATAGACGATCTAAAGGGAGTCTTTATAGACGAGCTGAGGAGAGTCTTTATTCACGAGCTGAAGAGAGTATCTATAAAATATCTGGAGGTCTTCAATATGGAGGATCTGTAAGCAATCAATATGGAGGGATTCTCTATAGACGATCTTAAGGTTTTTTCTTTAGATGATCAGAAAGGAGTGTCTGTAGAGGATCTGGCTTCGTGCGTAGACGATCTGAAGGAAGTCTCTTATATTAGTAAGCTGAGTGGAGCCTACGTAATAGGCTAACTAAATTGTTTATCTTTAATAAGCGATCTGAGCCTCCTTCATAGTCTTTATAGGCGATTTAAGGATGGCAGTCTGGAGCTGGAAGGGTCTATAGACGTCCATATTTTTTACGATATTAATTTTGATCATATCTTCGAAATATTAATTTCATTTATTTTTTCTCAACCCCTAGATGTCATTCGTATGATTTCGGTGATACCGGTGATATGGTCTGCCGTCTATCTCATCACAGCCGTGCCACACTCTCCGATGTACAAGATCCCTATTTGGAAGTACCCGAAGCCGCCACCTACGAATTATCCTCTTGCTACAATGTAACAATCGAATGTGGTGCTGGTGATATGGTTGCTCGCATTCGTACCTCCAAATTGTTCGATGGCAAGGTGTACGCCAAGGGTTCCCCTAAATCCTGCTCCGTGGATGTTAAAAACTCACTGGAATTTGAATTGAAAATGGGCTATCAAGATTTGGAATGTAATGTACGTCAACAGGGCTCGGGCAGATATATGAATGATGTTGTTATTCAACATCATGACACCATTGTTACATCATCAGATTTGGGGTTGGCTGTCACATGTCAATATGATTTGACCAATAAGTCCGTGTCGAATGAAGTTGATTTGGGTGTTAAGGGTGATATTGAACCTGCTCTGTCCGAAGAAGTTATTGTTGATTCACCTAATGTTATTATGAAAATTACTGCCCGTGATGGTTCTGATGTTATGCGTTCCGCTGAAGTTGGTGATCCTTTGGCATTGAAATTCGAAATTTTGGATGAATCAAGTCCCTATGAAATCTTTGTTCGTGAATTGGTTGCCATGGATGGTGGTGATAATGCTGAAATTACATTGATCGATTCGAATGGATGCCCCACCGATCATTTCATTATGGGACCCATCTATAAGAGTAGTTTATCGGGCAAGATTTTGTTGTCGCACTTTGATGCTTTCAAATTCCCCTCATCGGAAGTGGTGCAGTTCCGTGCTTTGGTTACACCTTGCATGCCAACATGTGAACCGGTTCAATGTGACCAGGAAGATATTAGTGGTGAATTTAAATCTCTGTTGTCCTATGGCCGTAGACGTCGTTCCGTTAATGTTACAGGTGAGTAGTTTTTAACAATTACAAAATTCGCCTAAATCTATCCCTAGAACTTCTATTAAGTGCTCCTTTAGAGTAAAGTATCTGTCATTTAATTGTCTATCTTATCTTCCCGCTTCATCAACTTCCCCTAATGATAACATTTTTATCGCTTCATTTGGAGCTTCTACACTTAGCCTTCGTGAAACCCACATACTAATTTATATTTCTTTCTTTTTCTCTCTCTGTTTCGCAGCTTCCTTTGGTGGTAATCATCTTAGACAACGTCGTGAAACTACCAAGAAACCTAGTCAAGAGGATTTGCTTTTGGTCCAATCAATTCAGATCACTGACAAATTTGGCTTCGATAAACAACAACAATCGAAATCTAACAGCAACCACTTGGGCTACGATGCCAATGAGACTGTCTTCATTTCCAGCGAGGCAGCATCTCAAGGATTCTGTGTTAATGCCATTGGTGAGTACAAGAAATTCATAGCGAAACACAAATACAGCCTCGGGACAATGTATTATTACAACAGTAATCCAATCGATACGAATCAGCCTTTACATACGAATCAGGGAGCCGCCTTCGTGGAAAATCAGAAGGTTTGGGATGGTTTATAAGCGAACTGAAAATTCGGCAGCCTTTACAAGAACTAATAAAGATACGGGAGCAATATGAAGGTCAAGAATGCCTTTTTAGGCAAGCTAAAGACCAGGAAGTATTTATAGATAAATATCTGAAGGTCAAAAAAATCTATAGACAAGCTAAAGATCAGGGATTATCAACAGAAAACTTAAAGAATGTCAGGAGGTCTTTATTGACAAGCTGTGAGTGAGGAATTATTCACAGATAAACAGAGGATCAGAGAGTAATTAGAGGTGAGTGCAGAGAATGTAAAAGTCCGGAAGTCTTTGCACGCGAGTTGAGATCACATAGGTCAGGGTTAAACTGAAAGTCAAAAAAGGGAGTCTTTATAGACGAGCTGAAGGAAGTCTTTATAGACGAGCTGAAGGAAGTCTTTATAGACGAGCTGAAGGGAGTCTTTATAGACGAGCTGAAGGGAGACTTTATAGGCGAGCTGAAGGGAGACTTTATAGGCGATCTGATGGTGAGGGAGGCTCCATAAAAGAGTTGTATTTCCAAGAGGCTTTATAGACGAGCTTTTTGTAGACGTGTTACACACCAATTAAAGGTCAATGAGTCTGTATAGACGAGCTTACATTCAGAACGTCTTCTGAAGGCCATGGAGTCTATATAAAGTAAGTTGAAGATCACTAAGTCTGAGCTAAGGGCCAAGATGTATGTGAAGACTATGTAAAAATCAATGAGTATGACGGTCAAGAATTTTATATAAAGTCAAGAGTCAAGAATTATATGTACGAACTAAAGGCTACGAAGTCGGGCAGAAGATCGTGGCGTAGGGAAGAAGGTCGTAGGAGGTTAGGGAATCTTTTTCGACGGGAGCTGAATGTTAGGGAGTAATTTTAGAGGAAGTGAAGGTCAACATGTCTGATACAGGGCAGAGCTGAAGTGACTCTTTTTTGGCGAACTAAAGGGTGCTATTCGTCAGGGGCATATATTTTAAAGTAGGGAATATGAAGTAGTTAAAAAACCCCGAAGGCCAGAGTGTCGTTACTATCGACCTGAAGGACAGGGAGTATTTACATGTGAGCTGACTGTCAGGAGAATTTTATATGACAGTAGAAAAAATTGAGAACTGAGGATCTAAGAGTTTTTTTCTAGATGAGCTGGATGTCAGAGTGTCTATATAGAATAACGGGCGACGCACCAAAGCTCTAAGTCTTTTTCAAAGCATTGGAGCTCAAGAGTCTCCAAAAATATAGACTCTCGATAGGCATTCTAATACCATAGTCGTGTACTGCCCTGACAACAAGCTTGTGCCAATAAAAAACATAGTAAATACTGACTAAAATAAAACAACCCAAATGCTAGACGAAAAATAAAGTCCACAAAAAGGAAGGACTCAATGAATGAACGACGGACCGAACGAACGACCATATCAGTAAAGTTAGAACAGACACAGCCAAAGAAGGAAACACAATTGTCTTCCTCATCAATGTATCACCTTAAAGAATTAGAGAGAGAAAAAAATAAAACCGATAATCTCCAGCTTCATCATCATTAGGATGGGTGATGATCAGGTATGTTCAAACAATGTTGTTGGAGTTTCCTCCTAGCCAATGTGTAGTTGGCATTGTACTTTGTTTTCGGATTAAACGTGCCCAGACGATTAAGGCCATTATTTAGTGTGGGCCAACATCTGAAAACCGGCAAAGGAAACACAACAGCAGAGTACAAAAATCGCCGGGGAAATTTAACAACCCAAAAGACCGGCGAAGAAGTAAAGCAACAGCTGCTGCTAAGATATGGGAAATCTCAAAAACTGGGATTAGCCCTATTTGATTTTGTGTTTCTGTTTTATTTTGGCTACAGATCTTTGTTGGTTGTAACTTTAAGGTTACATAACAAACACCGCAACAGAGAACCACACCGAAAAGGAGAGAAAGGTGTACAATCAGGCGTTAAGCTTTGACGTAATTGTTTTTTCTGTTATAATTTAAGTGTACATTTGATCTATGATTGTTGGAAAATTTAATGACTTCAAAAGGAGCCACCAGCACCACCACCACAGAGATTCGGGAGAAAACAGAGGGAACAACAAGGGAATTGATTCCCAAATAGTAAATCGTCTAGAACAGAAAATATCCAGCAGCCTTTAACCAATACAACAATCCATGTCTCGAAGTCAATTCGACTGCAGAACATGAACACAGGTTGTTGTTTTCTTTCGAATGCGATTGCAATCATCACCGCCATCATCGTCGTCGTCATCATGAAAGACAAGTGTTGTTCTGATTCCGTTTTTCTTGCTTATGTTCGAAAGCAACAACTTCCTTGATGTTGAAGGTTACGGGGGGTCGTAACACCCATGAAAATTTATGTGAGAATATCGAGAAAAAGAGATTGATTTAATTTGCCATTGATTTTCGGGTTTTCGGGGTGGGTGGAAAAAATACTAAACGAAAATTTTGGAAAACTGTAAAATATTAGATTTCATTGGGAATTGAATTATTTGGCTGCACCCAAGGGAGATGTTTTATAACGGGAGTTTTTGCTTCTAATTAAATCAAATAATAGAACGATGATCGCATAAAGCCATACCTAAAGAGGGGAAGAGATAGGGAGGAGAGAGCACTACTAAAACTGTATTGCAGATTTTTTTAATCTGAAAGGTGTCTTTTTATAGACGAATATAAATCTGTTGAAGTACATGAAGTACTGATGCTCAGGGAGTTTTAGCGCCCGAGCTTATTAGCCAGGCCAGGGTGTATATATAGTCGAACTGAAAGTCGGGAAATTCTTCCCGAGCAAGCTAAAGGTCACAAAGTCTTAATAGAAGAGCAGAAGGTGAAAGAACCTATATATTCGACCTGAAAGCCTTTCGGAAGCCTTTATAAACAATTTAAAGGTCAGGAAGTATTATATGTGAGGTGAAGTCCTGTAGGTGTTTATAGTCGAACTGATGGGAGGAATCTTTATAACAATATAAAGGTCATTGAAATGAAAAATCTGGGATTTTTATAGGAAACCCGAAGGTTTGGGACCAGCTGGAAGTCAGGGACTCTTTATAAGCGAGTTGGAAGCCAGTGAGCCATTATATGCGAGTGAAGCCTTTATAGACTGTCTAAATATCAGGGAGACTTTAGATGCAAACTGGAGATCAGAAACTTCTATAACAATTATAAATATCAGGGTTTCTGTGTAAACGAGTGGAATGTCAGGTGGTATGTATAGAAGAGCTTAAGATCAGGCTGCCTTTGCAGAAATTCTAAAGATAAGGGAGTTCTTTCTTATCGGACTCAGGAAGTTTTTGTAGACGGAATGCGGGGCTTGGAGTCTACATACAGGAGTGACAGATCATGGAGTTTTTTATAAACGGACTGATTGTCACGGTGCCTGAATAGGCGGGAGGACTCAGGGAGCCTTCATAAGAAAGCTAAAGATCGAGGTGTCGTTGTAGGACACCTAAAGATGAGGAGGGCGTTTTTATATGCGAGGTGGAGATCTGGCAGTTTTTATGAACGAAATAATAGTTGGAAAGAGGAGTGGAAGAACTATAGACGAACTAAAGATTCCGGAGTCAGGCAGACGTGCTGAACGACAAGCAGTAAAAAGTATTTGAGGACAAGTTGAGGTTGTTTAAACGAGAAGTTAGTTTTTACAGATCTTCTAAAGGGAGCCTTTATAGACGTTCTGAAGGCAGTATTTATAGATGTTCTAAAGGATGTCTTTATAAACGAAGTGAAGGTTAGCTAGGCTAGTAAGACACTCTTTATAGTCGAACTGAAGTTCGTAGAGCCTATATAGACGACCAGAGGGCGAGGGAGTCTTTATAGAAGTCCTGATGGTGAGGGAGATTGTATACACGAGCTGTATTTCCGAGGGACTTTATAGACGGGCTGTTAGTCAGGGAAGATCTATAGGCGTGGTAAAGTTTAGTGAGTTAAGATCAGAACGTTTTTATATAGACAAATTGAAGAGCAACGAGTCTGTATAGAATTCTTCATAGGCGAACTGAAGTCCAAGGAGTCTATATGAAGGGATTTGAACATCTGTGGGTCTGAGCTGTTGATTTATGAAGATCTATAAGCCTGTTAAAGTCAATTGAAGGTCAGCGAGTCTATATAGATGGGCTTAGGTTCAGAACGTCTTCATAGACGAGCTGAAGACCAAAGAGCTGAAAGTCATGGTAAAGATGAGCTAATAGCAAGGATGTATCTGTAGATTAGGTGAAGATCAATAAATCTTTATAGACGATCCGACGCTCATAAAGTCTATATAAACGAGTAAGAAATGATTTAAAGACAAACTGAAGGTTCGGAAGTCGTTATTGCCGTGACGTGGTGAAGGTCGTGTAGACACTTTTTGTATAACCTAAAGGGCAAGAAATCAGTCGATATGAAGCAGCTGAAGGTCAACGGGTCTTTGAAACGATTTGAGGCTCAGGGAAACTTTTTGGAAGAGCTGAAATTCATGGGCTGTTTATGGACTAATTGAATTGACGAGCTGGAGGTCAAAATGTCTGTATAGAAGATCTGATGCAGGACAGAGCCGAAAGGACTCTTTATTGACGAACTGAAAGTTAGGGAGTTTTATAGACAGCTGAATGTTAGGGATTATTTATTGACGATCAAATGCAAGGAGTCTATATACAAGCTCTCAAGGTCAGGGAGGATATGCATATGTGTTGAAGATCAGGGTGTCTTTATGGGACCTAAAAGTCGACCGGAATCTTTATAAAACGAAATGAGTATTTCTATAGTTGCGAGTATTTCTATAGTTGCGAAGTGAAACGGGTATATATAAAGACAATCTGGATGAATAAAGATATAGGCGATCTGGAGGGAGTTTTATGTGCGAGCTGAGGTTGATTGAGATAGATAACATAGACAGGGTCTTTATACGAGGACATTTATATTTATTCTGGCATTTTCAAGCATTCTAATCAATTGCTGAAGCAATTTATCGACTCAGATTAAAGCAACTTCAAAACATGGGGTTTGGACGCATCAAAAGCAACTTCCAGCGATGCAAATTTTTGACCACACACTTTTATGCATGCATGTGCGGCAAATAAAATAAGACATAGATTGGGAGCTTTTAAAGATATTTTTAGAAGTCATAACGGAGGGATATGAAGACATTTTTTGTATGAGGCCTTGTGAGACGATCAGCTCTGAATTTTTGTGTCCCATATTTAAGTCTTTAAAATTTTTATTTTTTTATTATTGAAATATTAATTCATATCTGATTTTTTCAGGACTTATTGTGGCTGCCACCGTTTTCTTGTTGGCCCAATTGGCCGTCATAGCTATTTGGACCTATTTGTATCAGAGACGTCGGAAATTGCAACCCTATAGCAGTGAAGGTATGAGCAATGCCTCCAGTTATGGATCACATAGTGCTGGATCGAGTGCCTCCACCATTGTGGGTAATATACCCAATGCGAGATCTGAATCATTGTGTAAATTATATGAAGGTGGCTTCGGGCCAAGGCATGGACGTCAATTTTGAGGCAAATAACAGAGATCGAAAAACAGAGGCAATTTTTTATAAAAAAGGGTTTAAATTATTTTGAGTAAATGGAAACTAATTTAATTCAAGAAAAAAATATGAAAAAAGAAAATCAAGCTTAGTAGAGTAATGCCATTTAAGGAGAAAAAAGAGCATAAAAAATATGAAAAAAAAATATTTTTTTAGAAAAAATTCAAAAAGCAAACAAAAAAATTATGAAAAAACATATGGTGCCGGATAAAGTAAAAACTCGAGGGCAATATTTATTATTTTTTAATATATAGACATGTATGAGTAATTTATATAGAAATAACTAAATTTTAAAAAAATTATTATGGACGACATAATAAAGGGGGTAGCATTGTTAGGGAGGATATCACAATGGATCATGGTTCCTTCTTCATTCCCTTTGAATGCAACACCTTTTATTTTCAAAAATCGAAACTATATATCGAATCAAATATTCTTAATATTTAAGTATTAGTATTTAAAAAAACAACACCAGAGCATATTTAGAAAATTTGCTTTAAAAGAAACTCTTTTGTAGAAGTTTAAGATAACAGATTTTTACGGAATTATAGAAGAGACTTATTAATGAAACAAATAAAAATATACAAAAAAATAATATTTTTGTGGAAAAAAGGACGACTGATTAAGAAAGGATAATTATAGATAGAGAAGCAACACAGATGAACAATAGTCTAGATAAAACTTAGGTAATGTGTAAGTTTTGAACAAGTCAAAACTATGACCATTTTCGTAGAATAAGACAATAAAATCAGTAAAGCAGATCGACATAACAATCAAATAATTTTCCCATTTTTCAAAATTAGAATTTTCATCAACAACACAAAATAAATTAAAAAAATATTTCCTTTTTTATTTTTTAAATAATTTGCATTTTATCCATTTAAAATATAGTAGATTTGTATTCTAATTTAAAAATACTTAAAATAAAATATCCATAACATTTGCAATATAATTATTAGTTTTGCTTATGATATAGAATACCCCCAATAATATTTAAAAGTAAAAACTAAAAAAAGAAAAAATATTTTTATTATATGGTAATAGTATTCTTGCCTTATTAGCCACCAAACAACAAACCATATATCCTTCCATATTTCTCACTTGTCCTTTTTTCTAAGTTCTCATAATCATGTTTTGGAATGAAATTCTTAAAAAATAAATAAATATTTATTTATAAGTTCCCTTTTTAATTTAATTCTGTAATTTTCTTTTTTTTCATAGCATAGAGAAATTTTAGTCTTATTAAGTAATTAATGAAATCCATCCGTAAAAATTTTAATAATGAAATTTATTTAGCGCGGAAACCATGTTTTATACTCTAATAATTTTTTACTTATTTAATAATAATAAAAATATAATAAATATTAACATTTGGTGTTTTATTTCAAAACACACAAGGGAAAATAATGTATAAAGTTGGTAAAACGAGTTGAAGATCAGAAAGTCTTTATAGACGAACTGAAGGCTAGAAAGCCTTAACAGACCAAGTGCATATCTATATAGTCCTTATAGACAAGCTGGCGAACATGGCGTGGAGTGTTTGTAGACAACCAGAATGGGCAGCAATCCTAATAGACAACCTAAAGTATGGAATGTTTATGGTCAAGCTAAAGATCAGAAATTTGTAGACAAGCTAAATGTAAAGGAATAATTTTTAACGAAGGTCAGGTTGTCTTTGTCGTAGATCTTATGCATTACAGATCTGAAGCGACCTTTTTGATGAACTAAGGATCAGGGAGTCGTTATAGACAAGCTGACGATTTATTGACGATATGAAGCAAGAAAGGAGGACACAACTAATGAATACAGGAGCTGAATATCGTGGACGTAATGGAGTAATTTTAGACTTTATATAAAGAAAGTAGTACATAATGTCGGACTGAGTCGACTATATGATACCATTCGCCACTTTGGGTATATTGACGATAGCCAGAGGAGGGCCCTGGGGCCCAAACTTGACACACTCTATTCGGTATGCTGCACTGTTTAAATTTTAATCTCAATCAGACAGCCATTAATTATTTAGTGTACTATTAACATGAATAAGTCGAAATAATATATGGAAGCTATGCTATATATAAACCTGAACCGACATTAAAGTTATATAGGGGTTTTGGTGAACCATTTACATAAAATCGGTCGAAACTGTATATGGGAGCTATATTTTAATCTGAACCGATTTTCACGAAACTTGGCACACATCATTCTAGACTTAATTCAGTACTCTATGCTAAAATTCGTGCAAATCGAAAGATATACAAGGGCTTTGGTGCTTCATTAACATCAAATCTGTCGAAAATATATTATATATGAGAACTATATCTAAATCTAAACGGACTGAACCGATGTTCACGAAACTTAACAAGCATCATTCTAGACTTACTTCGGTGCATTATGAAAAATGTCATGTACATCGAAAGATATATAGGAACTTTGTTGCTCCATTTACATTAAATCGGACGAAAATATATATGGGAACTATATCTAAATCTGAACCGATTTTCACGAAACTTAGCTCTCATCATTCTCGACTTAATTCAGTGCGCTGTACCAAAATTGCAAATCGAACAATTAAGAAGGACTTTGGTTCACCATTTACATAAAATCGAACGAAAATATATATGGGAGCTATATCTAAATGTGAACCGATTTTCTCTAATTTCAATAGAATTCGTCCTTGGGCCAAATAAATGTCTGTACCAAATTTCATCCAAATCGGATAATAAATACAACCTGTACTTTGTTTGCAATTTAAAATCAGCAGACGGGCGAACTGACATGCGTAAATCGACTCAGAAGGTGATTCTATGCATATCCTCAAAAGAAACCATGGGTATATATCGATTCCTTCTGCATGATACAAACATATACACAAAGACATAATATCCTTTACCACAGTGTGGTGAAGGGTATAAAAATCAGACAGAGCTTATTAATTGATGAACTGAAGGCCAGGAGCCTTTATTGACACGTTGAAGATCAGGCAATATTTATTGATGCTCGGAAGCAAGGAGTCTATATAGAAGGTCACAAAGTAACGAAGGCTTTGTATTTGTGCGGAAGATGAGTGAGTTTTTATGGGCAAACTGAAGTTCATAAAACTATTTTTATAAACGTGCTGAGTAGCTGTGGCGAACTGGCAGCTCAAAAGAAGCTGTATACTATATATTTCAGGCGTTTTTCATGTGTTGAAACCAATTGTCGAAGGATGCCAAGTCAGGGCTGGGAATATTTATTGACGATCTGAAGCATGAAGTCTATATAGAAGCCCTCTATGTTAGGGATGCTTTGTATACGCACTGAAGGGAAATTTATACAAGAACTGAACATCAACCGAAATAGAGAATTCTTATAAAAGTGCTGACTAATGAATTTGAATTTTTAAAAGAGCGGATGGTGGAAATCTCCTGGCAAGGAACCGGTATATTATATTGCGGACTCTAACTGGGCTGTTTGCCAGGTGACAAGTAATGAATTTAACTAAATTATCATCCGCGGTAGGAAGCTGTTTTCCTACCGCGGATGATAATTGACTAATCATCGGCCATCACATCAACTATCATCTTTTTATGCTAATAAGAAATCTCTATTGAGAACCCCCAATAATTTGTGAATATATGGACCAGTCTAATTTAAGGGACCAAATAACTCTAGTGTTGTCCCAATCGAGAAAAATAACTTTAAATTTTGAGAAGCGCTTTCGATGAGCTTTTCAAGTTTTAGTTCCATCGCCTACATATTCAGCCACACCACAAAAAGGCAAGGTACAATCTCAAAGAGATATTTAAAATTGTTGCTAATATAGGTGAGAACACGTTAAAAATACACATTTTCGATAAAAACTTTGCCAATATGCAAAGAAGATGAAGCCAACAAACAACAGTTAAGCAATGTCCCATATGGACACCAGCGCGGTCGATTGTATTATATTTTTGGTCAAGTCGAACGTTTACACAATTCACAATGATAAAGCGAATTTGAGGATTTTAAAATGGTAATACCTAGACGGCCTTTCATACATACAGATGGAAGATGGCACATGTACGGGGTTCTTCTGTGAATAATTCCCAATAAAGAATTTCTACAAATTAACGAAATATTTTGAGTTGTTCTAGCGCTTTTAGCAAAGCATCGGTGTTAGTCGAGCTATGTATTAGTGACTCCTTGGTACTATAATGAGAAAAAATGCATATTGATTCTTTAACTCTATTTCACATAAATAACCTATAATGAGAGGTATTATGCTCTGAAACATGGAAATGGCAAATAACTTTGACTTCGGTTAAAAAATGAGAGTTCAGCCCTTCATAATAACTAAAATCTGTCGGGAATTTTAATGAAATAATCCATATACAATCAAGTAAAAAGGATGTTATGTTCGGCCTGGCCCTCCAAGTTGACATTGAAAATATCTTAAATTAATGGGGGCTCCTAGAAGAAAAATTATGATAGGAGCCTGACCATACGCGAGAAAAATATATTTTAGATTCTCATATACCGAATAGAGAGCCTACTGGTATACGGGGCTACATCAAAACGAAGATCGATATTGATAAAATTTAAAAACCCAATGGGAATATGAAATGTCAAATTACAGCCAATATGCTGGAAAAACGGGTGCAAAATTCTCAAAATACCGAATATTTGGAGGTACCGTTTTATAGGGTTTCCCTGAAACTTGGGACATATTAATCATTTTTGGCAATGAGATTTGGTACCCAATGGAAATACCAAGCACGAAATTACAGCCCCAATATCGAATATTGGGGGTGTCTTTATATGGGTGGTACCCTGAAACTTCGGGCAATATTAATCATTTTTATGCGTGCTCAAAATCCCCAAAATACCGAATATTGGGAGGTTGCCGTTATATGGGGGCTATACCAAAACGTTGACCGATATAATCACCGATTTGCAATACCAAATATCCAAGAGCTCTATCTTAAAATTTTAAATTTTAGACCTCTATCTTAAATATTGCGATCTCTATCTTGATTGCAACAGGCTGACAGACAGACGGACATGTGTAAATGGATATCGAATTTTATTCTGATCAAAAATATATAGACTTTGTGAATATTGAATATTTCGATGCGTTGCAAACGGAATGACAAATTGTATATACACTCCACCTTACGGAGCTCTCACAACAGCTCAGACCAGAGCTTTTTGTCTGGCCAAAGCGTGCAATTGATGGGTCATTCGTTATACATCCCTGACTTGACACTCGCACAGAAAGAAATAAATGTGTAATCAACAATTTTCCTTAGTCGTATATGTTGTACATGTAATCGGAGTTTTAACTTGACACTTTTAAAACGTTATTTGATTTAACACTGTACTCTTATTACAAAACTAGTTTCCAAGTTATTTCTTTTTAAGTATTTAAAATCTAAATTATGATTATATTATAAGCAAATGTTTGTTTCTTCATTTAGCTTCAGTATTCTTAGAATTATCACTTACCCTTAATCTATTATCTCCCACTGTCCAAACGCGTGCTCCATAATCGTTTGATGTGCCTATTATATAGGTACCAGTGGAATCAAAATCGACGGAATTAATACCAGCACTGCTGCCTCCCAAAACGGAACGTGGTTCTGATGAGCCTGTAAGAAATAAAGAAATTAATTAAACGCAAACATTTATTTGAAATTTAAAAATGTTAAATGTTTAACTCACCTTTCCCCACATCCCACAGCTTGACCTTGCGATCCGCACCTCCCGTTGCAATGACACGTTCTATGGGACTCCAACGTACCGCATGTGATTCTGTTTCGTGGGCCTCAAATTTCATATAGATATTTGTTGGATTTGCACTCTTCATATAGCTACCCATGCCGCCGGTGTGGAAGGGATCTTGCGGTGAACCATACATTTCAGCATCACAGCCGGTTTCAATATTATGATCACCACTCAGTGTGTCGCGATCACTGTCGTCATAGGCATCACCACCAGCCCCACCGTGTATTGAGGACCCCGACGAATTACGATGATGGGTAAATGATGAATTTGGTTCACGTACAGCGTCTTCAAGTTCACGTTTCAGTTTATCGGAACGTTTTCTGAAAATTGACGGCAGTCTTTTTCTAGATATCGTAAAATTACAGATGGAATTTGTGTGTTTGGTTTTTTTTTTTTGGTATTTTTGATTTTGGATTTTGAGTGTTTGTTTGGTGAAGGGCCGAAAGGGGTAATAGCCGAAAAGTTTTGTTTCGTTTTTTGTATTGGTTTGCAACATTTTTTACATGTTGGGTGTTTGTTGTATTTGAAGTTTGGTATTTTTTGATTATTTTATTCGAGGGATTATCATCAACATTTACACACATACACACACGCACACAAACACACATAAGAAAAAATATATGAAAAAAAGAGGAGAGAAAAGAAAGAAAAATAGTGTTGGTTTCTGTTGGTTTTCCATTTAATTTTTAAACTATTTGTATAAAAAAGAACATTACAGCTGGTTGGACCTCGAAATGAAGGCCCCAATTTAGTCTTCAAAATTTAAATTTCGGTTTTTTCTAAACAATGTTAAGCGTTTTGGTGGTAGTTGGTGGAAACTTTTTTGAGGATAAATGCTTTTTTTAATTTCAAAACTGGGATTTTTATGGATTGTTAATTTTTATCATTAAGAGTATTGGGACTAAGAAATTTAAGAATTTGCATTCAATGCAGGTAATTTGAAAAATTAAACGAATGACAGTGAAGATGCAATTTGTGGATTAGTATTAAAAAAGGAATGTGAATTTAAAAAAAATGAATGCTGGACAAGACAAACTTTTCTCCAAAGCTTTAGAGCGTATGGGGTTGATGAAGGTGGAGAATGAGATTTTAGTTTCATGCACTTCTTTAAATAGATTGACATTTGGATCATGAAAAATTAAATTAATAATGGAAATGGTTATAAGTGATAAACGCGCAATTTTACAATGTCCTTTTTATGCAATCCTACACAATGAAAAATCTTAATAGATGAAATTTTTATAAATTCGATGCAATTATCAAAATTTGTGTAAATACCTGAAATCAAACTGTGCAATACAGAGCCCTGGATAGAATAGTGGTTGGTAAAATTGCCAACCAAATACACGGTTTAAAAAATACACGGTTTTGTCTAAAGAGAACTGTTAAGGTATAATAAAAATTAACCGATTATTTATCCATCAATTACTATTTAAATTCGGTCTGGAATGTCTGTACCACGATTTGGATGAAATTTGCACATGTCTCTTTTTTGGCCCAAGGACAAACCCTATTGAAATTACAGAAAATCGGTTCAGATTTACACATAGCTCCTATATTTAGTTTCGTCCAATTTTATGTAAATGGTGCACCAAACTCCCAACATTGATCCAATTGAGACAAGATTTTGCAGAGTACAGAATTAGGTCTTGATTTATATATGCCAAATTTTGATATAGCTCCCATATATAGTTTCGTCTGATTTTAATTAAATCGAGCACCAAAGAGTCAAATTTAGCCCGATAGGTCCAAATTTATGCATGCCAAGTTTTGTTGGAACCGGTTCAGATTTAGATTAGCTCCCATATATAGCTTCCCCGATTTTATGTATATGGTGCACCATACTGTCAATGTTTGTCCGATTGAGAGAAAATTTTGCATACCGTATTTATGTTACTACAGGTTGATATCCGTGAAGTTTTGTTGAAATTGGTTCAGATTTAGTTATAGCTCTCCCATATATATTTTCGTCAGATTTTATGTAAATGGCGCACCGAGGAGTTTATGTTTGTTCTATATTCACAAAATTTAGCAGCGGGTATGAAATTTAGTCTAGAATGAGTTTTGTTAAGTTCGAAATCTGTTCATATTTAAATATAGCTCACATATATACGTTAGTCCCATTTTATGTAATGGTGCACTATAGATCCTGTTCTATTTGCACGATATATTGTTGTTGAAATCGGTTCAGATGTGCATATAGCTCCCTAATATATTATTGTCCAATTTTATGCAAATGTTGGAAATGGAGGAGCCTATGTCTGCTCCCTTTACATTAAGATATAGCTTCCATATATATTTTCATCCGATTTCATCAAAATGATGTACCAAATAACTAAAGTTTGTCCGCTTAGGACGAATTAGTGCACAACGTACCAAATCGGACCTAAAATAACGTGTATTGGATTTTGTGTCGAGATAAATTCTGGATAGCGCACTGTGTTGCATGGTGGATGTCACGGTTGCCCAAATAGGTCCATTTATATATAGATCATATACATATTTTGCTCGATGATTAACATTCAATTTTTCATAAATTTCAGATTGGTATGTGTATGGGTTGTTTCAATTTAGTTCAATGTACTTCACGCAGTTAATTTCGTCCGATTCCATTTCAAGGGTGTCATGAGAACGCAACATGTTACAGTTCTCATTGCGGCATTCTAACAGGTCTGAATACTTCTCCATTGCGTAGCAATAGTATTGGCAGATATTCGGACCACCGGTGCCGTATACCTAACCATAACTGTAGTATGCACGAACAATTTGAACATGCTGTCGAATGTGACCCCGAACATTTTAGGGTAGTTGATGGCCGGAATTATGTGCCCTGCACATTCAAATGAATTCTCATCTCCGCAGTCTATATGGGGTATATTTTCATACCCCTGCATGAAGGAAGGCTGCTAAATCGGCGTTCAAACTTACACATGTCCTCAACTATAGGACCCGACGCCATGATCGTACAATCATCTGCATACGTAACGATACAGATAGAGGTTAAACAGTTCCGGAGACATCAGTCTACCCTGAGAAACTCCCTGCTTCACTGTATTAAATTTGAATTTTTTATTCCGGAAATCCACGTACGGCTGGCGTCCACACATATAATTTATTATCCAACGCCTCGAACTTGGCCGCTTAATATGGGGAGGAGTAGTGTATCAAAGGTCTTTGCTGCTGGTGACAATCGCCCTGTAAGATTCACCGTTGCTGGCATCCATGCCTTAAGTTGGCCTTAGTAGCGGGGCCACCTTGTCCATTGTTCAGGCTTCGGGGTGGCTATCGACAAATTGACGAATCTTCTCTTCGCCCTCTCGTTTTCGGGATGTTCGAGAAACTGCCGATTAAAATAACTGGCGCATTTCTTCGGTCTTCTGTCACGGTTTCGTCGTTGAATGTGACTGAAGCCCTTCTTAGCTGTGTTCGAAAGCGACTCAACCGTTTACCATAGTTTACTCATACCGTTTCCGCTTATGCTCCGCGAATACTCTGCTGAACTCCAACGTATGTTCCCTGACCCTAATATCTGCTAGGTTAAATCGACGGAGCACATCACGGTCATTTGCTAGACCAACTTCCTTTGCTGGAAAATTAGGTACATTTATAGTTATATAATATCAGGTGAACGGACTATCTCATTCGAACCAAACATTGTAGTACCTAATATTTGAACCAAGCCTGTATATGGTTTGAAGATAGGCCCACTCCTTCCAGTACCTCCCACAGAAGAGATCAACAATTCTAAAATTTGCAAACCCCTTATGAAGCGAACGGAATATTCAATTTAATCTATACTTCCCACATCGTAATATTTTTTATCGGTACAGTCCTTCTGTCTGCTTTAATCCAACTATTACAAATGGTAATATTTTTACAAAACCAAGATTAACATCGATGATGGGACCAATCGGTCCAGTCGTTATGGTACTTCCCCCTCAAAGGACCAACATTTCAAAAACATGCAAATTTAATTTGAAGTGAGAAGATCGCTACTCGTTAGGGGCTTCAATATTATATTGTGGCTTATATCTTGTTACATTTTGAAGGATTTAACACACCCTTAGAACCAAATTAGAACTAATTCCGTGAAAATGCCACCATTTTCCCCAAAATACAGAATAATGAGGCTACCGTAAACAATGAAACAATATAGATAATTTTTAGTAGGAAGCTTTGCTTCCAATTTTGTTAAAAAGCGTGACCAATCTCGCCAAAATTGCAAATAGTGAGAAATATGTTTTTATGGAGATTATGTTAATAGGTGGATTTTGGTAGGAGGAATATTAAAAAAAAAATATTGGTATATAGATTGATTACCCAATGAGAACTCATAATAGAGAAGCGTAGCCATTTCAGGTGAAAAAGTGCAAAAATCAGAATTTCAATACCTAAGATAAATACATCCATGTATCAAAGCTCTATCCTAAATATTCCCAGCTCTATCGTTGTTTCATCAAACTAACCTATATGCATTAATAGACATAGAATTTTATTGTTATCGAGAATATATACCTTATGGGGTATGCGGATGTTGCAAACGGAATAATAAATTTAATATACATTCCACCTTATGATGGAGGGTATAATAAATAAAATCGAAAAATAATAGAAGCCAACTGTCGAAGCACTTTCGCCACTCCGGTTGATACCCAAAAAGGGGGTTTTGAAGGCATATTCTGGCGACGAAAAAAGGTAGACCCCGCTCTTTTTATTGATGTTTATATAAAGCCGATGGTAAATCAATTTAATGATAACTCCTTTATATTTATACTGTCTGTGGAGTCTGGTACCCATTAAGATAAAAATTTTTAATAAGTTTATTTTTACAAGCCTTCTACTGAAATAAAACCCTGAGTACATCGCCGATCGGCAACACCGAATGATATTTTCTACTATTTTATCCAAACATCAAATACATATTGACCAATACTCTGATATATCTTCCTTAAAGTTCTACCCCTACATTTCAAATAATCATTTGCATATTTTATTCGAAACAACTGCAATTTGATATTTAGGATTTCTAATTGGAAGCTGAGCTAAATTTTAGTCTATATTCAACGGTCTTGTTCCGCTTTTAGAATTTTTGAAGGCCCTGGATGTATTCTTTAAAGGATGTGGGTGTAATTTAAGAAAAGAAAACCAAATTTCTCAAAAGATAGAAATGGGCATAGGGAAAGGTTAATTATGTTTTGACACAGTCCCTAGATTCGATGGATTTTAAGAGCCTAGTATGACTACTGAATTCAGAAACAAGAATGGAACAGTGTCTTTCATTTAGACGAATTTAGAACTCCTTAGATAAGACCAGTTCTAGAACTGACAAAAATCAAATATCCTCAACACCATCATCTACCAAATCACTTGAACATTGAAGACAATGACACCACCTTAGACCATACCAAAAGTATCAAAAAATTTTGAATCAAAATTACACATAGAGGAGAAACAAACAAGAACCACACTTTTTCTTAAAACATGAAACTAAAAACAATATTTAAAATCATGCTCTACTACATACAAAAAATTATATACGAACTGAAAATAATTTTTACAACAATTATTCCGTTACGAATCTGATTATTTCATTTAATAAGGATGAATATAAGTCAACGATAAACTTGTTATGGAAGTTAAAAGTTGCATTTGGAGGTAAACACAAATTATATATTTTTTATTGATTCTCAATTAGGTACGACGAACTTAAATTTAATTTTTGGAAGACATCGTAGTACACACATGTATTTAACTATGTCAGATTTTTATTCTGAGCTTTATATTGATCCTTACTTAAAAAAATCAGTAATAAATTAAATAAATATTGCACGATAACAATCATGTTACTACTACTCATATATACACAAAATACAAAAAGATTCTACAGAAATTAATAAAAAAAATAACACAGAAATCTACTATACTTTTCAAAAAGGATAACAAGAAATGAATGAAATTAAAATGAAAACAATAGCGAATTAAGGTATTGGGATAGCCAATTACACAAAAAAATAATTCTAGGCAACCATTAACCAAAAGAAAAAATAACAAAAAATGTACAAAAATATAAATAATGTTATGCAACAAAATTGCGTATTTAAATTTTTTTTGGGGGGATGAAAGTCCTTGGTGAATATAATAAGAGCGTAGAAAGTTCAAAGTCGTGTGATACAATTTTTACGGTGGGAATCCAATAGTAGTAGTAGTAATCTATCTTACTTAATCAGAATATTTTTAGATCGTATTTCTCCAAGCAAATGGAATGAACTTTTGGACTTTCTAACAATATTATATGTTTTGACAATCATATTTTACAAAAATTTCCTTTAGATTTTACGTTACTATGTAGAGTCATGGAACTCTATTGAAACGTTTTTGCTTTTGTGAAGTCCTTTGTGATTGAAATATTAAAAATACTGCATACGAAACTGGTGCCAATTTGTAAGTGTGCAGATCGTAAAGGAATTAGGAATCTATATGCAAAATTTCGTACTCTATCGTAAACATTGGGCTCTCAAACGTGATTAAAACAGATAGACGGACATTATCAAATCAACATAGAATTTTACTTTTACAAACCTGGATCTTTATAGGGTCTCAGACGTATATTTGGCGGTGTTTCAAACGAAAAAGCAAAATCTTATAATGGAGGTTTTCTCAGAAATATAACAAAAATTAATTTAGTTGGAATACAAATGAGGTTTTGAAACATTTTCATACGGATATACTGTTATTAAGTCGGACTTCTGAACCTCTTGCAAAAAACATTTAAGAAAATGTGGATAATAGTTGGAAAAGGTAATGTTCGCATTCGAACATTACCTGACAGCAAATATCTATAACTGCTAACAACTAGTTATTCGTTTTCTAGTTCACCAACAAAAATATCAGCATATCCAATCGTATTAACTCTTCTGCATTCTTATTATTTCCATCAAAGACTTTCATCGCCAACAATAAATTTTCCATTCCACCACAATTTTGTTGCTCAGTGTAATTAAATAAAAAAGCCAATTAATTAATGTAACTACAAAATAAAAGCCAATTAAAACATTTAACACAAAACACAAGGAATTTCAATATATTAATATCTCAAAAATACTTACCTTATAAAGCTTTCGTTTTCTTCATTCAATTTATCGGCATCCTTGGCTTTGTAGTGCATTAAACGATCCAATAAACGACGATTTTCATCCTGATTGATTTCAATCATCGGTTGCGTTGTCAACGACATGGAAGAAGAAGAGGATGTAAATGAATATGAAATAAATTGTTTTATTGTTTTAAACATTTTTTTGGAACAATTTTTATTAATTGGGAAAATGTGTTGTGGTCGTTAGCGTAATGATATGTAAAATGAAAATATTTTCAAATTTTACTTTTCATATTGCCGGCAAATTTTCGCGACCACACTCATATTAGCATTACAAAAACAAATATTTGTCTTAAATTTTCATGGATGCTTCTTAATGGCTTTTCACGTTACCGACCGGCTGTTGGTCTGCAGTAATTTGTCATTTCATTGTCAAATATTTGTGATACAATTAAAAACATATAAGAAATTGTTGAACATCTTTGCAATGCACATATTCTGTACATATAGACAATTTTCTATTCTGTGGTGTCTTTTTTTTAATTCTAATCGTCATAATGATTGATGGATGGAGTAGAGTATCCACATTCCTCATATTCCATTGTAAATTGTCTGCTAGTACGTAGCATGGCATAATTATGCCATGGTAGGTAGTTTATGCTCGGAGAAAATTAAACACACAATTACAGACTGGCAGGATGGAAAAGGGGCTAGGAATTTTAACATATCGAAAATTAACAAGCCCTTATTCAAAATATAGACCTGGGAAGACGTTTTTTTCATTCTCCAGTAATCCCGGATTTCGAGTTACAGCCACTACAATGGGTAAATGCTGCTAGATCCTTAAAAATATAGAAAATGGCGAGAGTTATTCATGAAGGCTATGTCAAAATATGAACCTACATTGATAATTTTCGCGAATAAGTTTTTCAACCTCCAGTATATCTAAAAGCATACGATTGATTGAAAAATGACGCTAAACCCTTAAAATACTGAAAATAGCGACAGAGCCTTATGTAAACCCTTATATTAAAAACAATCAGTGTATAGGTTTTTCTACCTGGCAAGAACCTAGAGACCCAACTAAAATCCACTTCGGTGTGGAAATGAGTAAAAAATCTTCAAAATGCAATAACTGAGGCAGGATCTTTATATGGGGGCTATGTAAAAATACTATATTTTTGTCAAAATTTGGATCTATAGTCGTTTAAAAAAAATCTATTTATAAAATCCACGCCTAAAGACCTGATAGTCGTTTAAAAAAATCTATTTATAAAATCCACGCCTAAAGACCTGATAGTCGTTTAAAAAAATCTATTTATAAAATCCACGCCTAAAGACCTGATAGTCGTTTAAAAAAATCTATTTATAAAATCCACGCCTAAAGACCTGATAGTCGTTTAAAAAAATCTATTTATAAAATCCACGCCTAAAGACCTGATAGTCGTTTAAAAAAATCTATTTATAAAATCCACGCCTAAAGACCTGATAGTCGTTTAAAAAAATCTATTTATAAAATCCACGCCTAAAGACCTGATAGTCGTTTAAAAAAATCTATTTATAAAATCCACGCCTAAAGACCTGATAGTCGTTTAAAAAAATCTATTTATAAAATCCACGCCTAAAGACCTGATAGTCGTTTAAAAAAATATATTTATAAAATCCACGCCTAAAGACCTGATAGTCGTTTAAAAAAATCTATTTATAAAATCCACGCCTAAAGACCTGATAGTCGTTTAAAAAAATCTATTTATAAAATCCACGCCTAAAGACCTGATAGTCGTTTAAAAAAATCTATTTATAAAATCCACGCCTAAAGACCTGATAGTCGTTTAAAAAAATCTATTTATAAAATCCACGCCTAAAGACCTGATAGTCGTTTAAAAAAATCTATTTATAAAATCCACGCCTAAAGACCTGATAGTCGTTTAAAAAAATCTATTCATAAAATCCACGCCAAAGGTCCTGATAATCGTTAAAAAAATCTATTTATAAAATCCACGACTAAAGACCTGATAGTCGTTTAAAAAAATCTATTCATAAAATCCACGCCAAAGGTCCTGATAATCGTTAAAAAAATCTATTTATAAAATCCACGCCTAAAGACCTGATAGTCGTTTAAAAAATCTATTTATAAAATCCACGCCAAAGTTCCTGATAGTCGTTAAAAAAATCTATTTATAAAATCCACGCCTAAAGACCTGATAGTCGTTTAAAAAAATATATTTATAAAATCCACGCCTAAAGACCTGATAGTCGTTTAAAAAAATCTATTTATAAAATCCACGCCAAATGTCCTGATAGTCGTTAAAAAAATCTATTTATAAAATCCACGCCTAAAGACCTGATAGTCGTTTAAAAAAATCTATTTATAAAATCCACGCCTAAAGACCTGATAGTCGTTTAAAAAAATCTATTTATAAAATCCACGCCTAAAGACCTGATAGTCGTTTAAAAAAATCTATTTATAAAATCCACGCCAAAGGTCCTGATAAAGACCTGATAGTCGTTTAAAAAAATCTATTTATAAAATTCACGCCAAAGGTCCTGATAGTCGTTAAAAAAATCTATTTATAAAATCCACACCTATGGCCCTGATAGTCGTTTAAAAAATCTATTTATAAAATCCACGCCTAAGGACCTGATAGTCGTTTAAAAAATCTATTTATAAAATCCACTCCTATCAGAGCGATAGTCATTGAAAAAATATTGTTTAAAAAATCCACGCCTATGGTTCTGGTAGTCCTTTAAAAAAATTTTGTTTAAAAAATCCACGCCTATGGTTCTGGTAGTCCTTTAAAAAAATTTTGTTTAAAAAATCCACGCCTATGGTTCTGGTAGTCCTTTAAAAAATATTGTTTAAAAAATCCACGCCTATGGCTCTGTCTCAATAGTCAATAAAACTATTAAATAAGTCTATTCTCATTGCTATGATTAAAAAATTCCAGTGTATCCATTGTTCTATCATTCCAAAACTTTCAACAATTTAAAACCATTTATTTGCAACTGGCACATAACCAAAAAGCACACGCACACACAAAATCAATTATAATTTCAGTAATGAACTGTTTATAAACAAATATTTACTCAACGCCAATATTTAAAAATAAACTTAATTATGAAATATAGTAACGACCCCTCCAAACAAAAAAAAAACTATAATTGCACATTATTATTTGTTTTATTGACTTGAAGAGTAGTCATGACAGCTGATGATGATGGAAGGAAGCATCATAATAAAGAAATGTGTGTCACAGTCACACAAAACACACAAATAAAAATAAATTCAATAAAAAATATTTAAAAATGAAGCGCTACAATTTATTTATAGAGTAGATAGCAGACAAAATAAACAAAAAATATTTACAACATAATTGTGATACATATACGAGTGAGTATATTGGTTGTTGGTCCACAGCATGGCAACAAAATATTGACTCATCTCGCGAAAAAAATGTAAATAAATAAAAACTGAAGTGAACTGAAAAAAAACTGTGGGGATCGTCCATTGATTAAGAATTAATCTACGATGAATAAACAATGAATATTCATTAAGTTTTAATTGAATTGTGATGAATGTCAATGAAAATTCCATTGAAATTGAATAGGTTTATTCGATAATTCTTGAGATTGCATTGGAAATATTTGAATTAAAAAAACTGTTTTAGGCGGTCATACGAGATGAGAAAAATATACGTTGAATTTAATAATACATTTTACAGATATTTGAATACAAAGTGTCTAAATTGAGAATCATTATTGATTTTGTGTTTTGTTATTAACGTCACCGCAGAACAGGTGTAGGTGATTTGTTTACACATTTACTCTGATAAGCTACTGTGTTGTTTTTTAGAAGTGTCGAGTCCATCGGAAATGATAAGAAATATTAACGCTAAAATTAAATTGCTTTTGTCACATTATCTATGGATAAGAATTTCTGTTTTTTGGGAATTGGGCTAACATGTGCTTGGGGAACTAACTAAGTTGATTGGAGATAACGATCAAACAAATTAAATATAACCACAAGCATTCATTTGATTCACATTTGATTGGATTCTTAAAATAACACTTATATTAAAATATTTAAACTATCTAGTCCCTCAAAAATAGAAGGTGTACCAGGAACCAAGCAATAAAATATTGAAATTTTAGGCTACTAACAAATAATGGGGAATAAATTGAAAGATGAAGAGAACAGTTCGTAACGTAACGTCAGAAACGCCAATGAAAATAATGAAAAGGTATAATAACAATCCATCGTGTAACCATTCCCGCTTGAATGAAATTAAAAGAGGCAAAAGAACAACTAATTAGGAATAATTAGTAGGAATAATATGTTTTACCAGGTAAAGCTTTAAAAGTCGACGACAGAGCCGCAGATTAGTTACACCGACTTTATATCAGTTTAGGAGGAAATAAGACTGCCGCAAACGTGGAAGAATGGCATCGTTGTGAAGATACCCAAGAAAGGCTGATTGAAAGATAATCCCCGTTCAGCGATTGTTTCATTGTAGAGCCTGCAAATATTAGTTATAATCGTAGTAGCTGTGGCTATAAAGCTGGTCCAGAGGGTGACCAGTCTCGAACTGTTTGGAATTCTACTGGAAATGGCTTCGACCACAAAGTTGGTGTAGGCCCAAAATCGTGCATCGTGCTGAAGTTGGTTTATAACCAAATAGAAGGTAGTGTTTCGCTAGGTGTGGAGTTGCATTACAACCGGTTGCTTGAACTATATATGGGTAGGAGTTTTAAATGACATCCGCTCCTCACCTAAGTAGGTGATCGCGTCCGCATTTTGGTGTGGGGCGTTGTTTGGAGCTTTGTATTACAAAACAGTGGGGTAAGACCGCAATGTAGGTACACATCTCTGCGTGCAATGGTGCACCCCTTAATCTGCTGTTCATCGATTTCATGAAAACTTTCGACACTATCAAACTGAAGCATTGAAAAAAGGGAGTTCCCAGAAAATAATCAGAATAATAAGAGCTATGTGTGAGGGTGGATAACTCTCAGTTCTTCACAACGGAAACATAAGCCAACCGTTTCGTAACAACACGAAAGTTAAGCAAAGATTAAAAGAAGGAAAAACTATTTTTAAAAAA